AGAGTAAGAGAGAAAGAGAGAGAAAGTTCTCGTTGCCTCGAGAACACCTCATTTGCGCTGGAAAACGTTTACGATACGTTAACGTAACCCGATACGTTACTTTTTTTTTTTTCGCACGACAACGCCAGAGCACCTCCCGATCGCGAGGACCAAAAAGAAGCCTGCCGTGCGATAATTTCGCAATAATAGCGCGCGAGTAAAGAGCGCGGCGAAGCTAACCGCGGACTCTTGATAAAAGCGGTTCGCGTCGCAAATAAACGCGCACGAGACGAAGTCTCGCATCGATAAGTCTCGCACTGGGCTCGAGAATCCCCGACACGTTCGCCGCGTTGAATTATTAAATTATTAGTACAATTTAAAATCGCTTACTGGTCTTTATACGGTCGTGTTCGCCATGTGTCCGGCCGTAATAATCGTACGATACGATATGATATGATACGTCAAAGCTGTCAAAATGACAGATTAACCGAATAATCAGGATACAATGTGTGTACGCGTGTCCAAACGCAATATCCGAACACAATGCAGACGATTAGAAAGACTGATGACCTTTTGGCCCCCGGTAAATGTTAGGTCTCTGTCGAAGTTAGGCCGGCGTGCATATTCGACGAGTGACCTTCCATTTTCATCGCGTAATTCACTTCGCGTCTCGAGTAATAGGATTGCCCCCTTTTCGGCGTTATCAACTTATTGAAATCGATCGTGCCGCGCGGCTCGCACCTGGCCGTCGATTAGCTCTCATTCCGATGAAATCTCGATTCCCCGTCGCTGGTGAACGCGAGTGGAAACGTCGTTGCCCGTGGCGTGGGATCCTAGACCGACCGGCGAGTCGATCGTCAGGAGGATCTACAGAAATAAGACCAAAAATAAAGTAGGACTTAGAGGAGAGGGAAAAGATAGGTCTTTATGAATAATACGCCAAGGGAAGGAGTGAAAGGCAGCAAAAAGTGAGAAGCAAGGAGAACGAGAAGCTGCTATTGCTTAGGCAAAGAGAATAATTATTGCAAGAAGCAAAGCTAGAGCGAGGAACTGCCATTTCTTACAGGACAGAATTGCTAGAAAATAATTGTAACACGGGTTATAAAATTAAATATACATAGTCACATATTTACGGTTAATCCTAGGAATGTAGAATGTAGTTATTCCTAACGAATGTTAGTAGCGAAAGTAGTAACTTTTACTAGCATTGAAAGGCTTTCAATCCTTTTAATTCTTGAAAGATAGTGGTAATCTGAAATGCTGACTGAGATAGAGAGTAAATATGTAATTTTCACTTATTTAAGGGTGTTCCAATTTTGTGGTAAATTGACTGATAGTTAAATCATGTCTCTCTCTGTCTAAATTGAAGGAAAATCAAACACATATATGATTTAATTATTGGTTAATTTGTTCAAGAAGTTAACTAGCCTTAAGTGACATTTCGTTTGAAAGCAGTGGTATTCACTCCAATGAAGCTTTTTAGTATTTATTTCGATGAAACAAATACTAGAGGGGGAACGCAAAGCTCTATGAGTGAAAATTACTCACGCTACCTTTCTAATGAAAGAAAATTGTTACATGATTGTGCGCGATAATGCACAAATATGCAATAATGCATTTTCTTCAATTAACATCTAATTATTATTAATTAACATCTAATAATCTACGTGGTTATTTGCAAAATGATAAAGGGCTTTTTTGTTCAATTTAACCTAATGTGCAAGCACATAACAGCACACAACGCCAATAGAGCTCATCTACCACATCGCGCGTGATCATTCGTCAACCTTCCTTAATTAATATCTCGACTGTTATTGCGAATATCGCTAAATGGTATAGCATTTTTATGTTCACTTCAATCCGTTCTACATTCCCATAAAAATTTCTAAGGAGAAATTTCCAGGATACTCTGTATATATTATATATATTATCAAAACAAAATATAATCGTCCCAACACCAGGGTGTCCCACCTGAACCAGGCTACCTAAATATCTCCATTAATTGTGATACAAAAAATATTTCATATGCAAATTGGGTGGTATGAAGAGACCAATATGTTGCAAAAAAGATTATTTTTTCAAAGTCTTTTTTCGGAGTTTTTAAGATCATCGATGTTTTTTTTTAATGGAATTTAGGTGACCTGGTTTAGGTAGGACACCCTGTATTATCGAAACAAAATATAATCGAAACAAAAATTCGGTTTGCTTACTACATTGAGCCAGCCCAACTTTTTGCTCGATAAAGATTTGTGATATCCTCATAAACAGAATTAATTTTTCTGTCAAGTGCACGATAATAAGCATTTTAAATTTGTGATTAGTGTATATGAAGACTATTGTTAAGAAAATATTCTTTGTTGAAGGGTTGCCTAAGCTGTTGTCCACAATCTTGTTTTAAGACGTAAGCCGTAAGAAATTAACCAACTATGGTCGACTTTATAATCGAGAAGAATAATCGACTGTAGTTGGTCAATTTCTTACGGTTTACGTCTTAAAGCAAAGTTGTGGACCGACACTAATATAGAACAGTTACTTAATAGAAGGAAAGTATAATATTATATACAATCTCTGTATATATTACATATTATCAGACCTGGGTAAGGGATAAATTAATACCAGGGCATTCGAAATAGACAGTAAGAACCTTACGGTGTCGCGCGCAATAAGAAGACCCATACAGACCAGAGGATTCTCAGTTGGCTCTCAGAATGTCCGCGCGACGAGTCTCTAGTCCTTTTGCCTTGGCAAAACTCGCGTATCACGTGTCGGGCGCAAAAATCCAAGGAGTCTGACGCGCTAAAAGCTAATGCCTTCGCACTCGCTCGTGCTTTGACTACGCGAGACAGTCTCGATTTAGTCTCTTGTCTCGAGCGCGGATATATTCGGGCAAAACATTGGCGTGGGTCCTGCCGGAGAGAGCGGGCGTCCAGCTAACGAGTTTCCTCCCTGATCGACCGGCGTCGTCTGCGAGCGGCCGAAAACTTGGGCGAGACGCATCGTCGCCGTGCGATCGTTATTAATGAACCGGTCCCCGCCGCTTTATTATGCAGAAAGCCCGACTCATTGGCAGTCGACGACTCATCGAGCAGCTCCGGACGAATCGCATCTCACGCGTCGCAGTTCTTTCCGTGATTCCGCACGATCGATCTCTCGGGGAAACGTTTCGGCTGGGATCGTCTCTCTCCGCGTAACTCACCCGACACCCATCTCGCGAGTCGAGCAATACACCGCGGTTGTATTTTCTGAAAGTTTCTTCCCCGCTCTATAACGGGAGTTCCTGTTTTCGGGACGGACTTAGCGCTTCGTTCTTTTCAGCGCGCGCGACTTCCACTTGAATATTTTCCGCAAATCCATCCGGATGATTCAACGCGATTCTGTCTGTGGAAAAACGCGAAATTAGCCCTCGATTAGCTTAAACTCACTCAGACAATATAATCTATTCAAAAAGGTTTTAAAGACGTTCTATTTCGTGCAGACGTTTCTTTAAGACATTTTCTAGTAATTTATGCTGGCTATGCATTCACACTTTCTTCCATCGCTCTGTGCAAATATTGCTTGCCTCACTTTTTCTGTTTATCCAATTATGCTCGAAGGAAATTTTCCTAAAGCGCATAATAAATTAATTAAAACGCAGAAAAATGCCACTTTATGTCAATGCTAAGAAAAACGATTGTTCAACTTGCTTTCTTCCTGTCAGAAAGAAGGTAACAGTCATCTTTCAAGAAAGAATATTTTTTAATGGTAGTCTCCAAATACTCGATACACTCATCACAAATTTTACAAATGCTGATTATCGCGCACTCGACAGAAAAATTAATTCTGTTTACGAGGATATTAGAAAGCTTTATCGGGGAAAAAGTTGGGCCGACTCTATGTAGTAAGTAAACCGAATTTTTGTTTTGATTACAATTACACAAACTTATGAAATACTTGAAAAAAGTGACATTTACTTGAATTGACAGCATGTACTTCTTTATGTGTGTCATATAAATCTCAGATGCGCAATTATCGCGCTCGACGCCTATGCCCGCGAATTCCCACCATGATGTCTCGCTAAAAATACACGCCTTACGTATGCACCAGTCTGGACTACTGCACAAGGTCATTGATCCTAATAAGCGGACGTTTGGGGTCAATTTTTATTTCCTGCCGGGGAATTTCTAATCCGTGTCTCTCTCGTCAGCCGGCACGATTAAGAATATTAACGCGTCGCCAACACGGGACACGTAGTTTACCTCTTTACACTTGACACATACACAGCAACTATTATGTGTTAGTAGATACTTTAGGTTAATTCTTATTTATACTCGTTAATATGCATAAACTCTTTAGAAGGCAGTTAGGAGGATGACCTTTTCAAAAGTTTATTTGCATTTGCCCGCTACAAGCCAAAGTGTCAGCTTATTGGCTCCTGTCGCGGCGATGTATTAAGGGACAAAGGTACACGGAAAAAAGTGGACTGACCAATTTCTAGTAAAAAAAAAAACAAACTGAGAAATTCCAGCTGTAGTTATCAGAAGATTTCCGATGAACTTAAATTTCAATCGGAATTTCCGCCAGAAATTAGGTCAACCAATCAATTTTTTTCATATATAATAAAAAAGTTATTTTCACAAATCGTTCGAAAATCGCTCCAGGCTTCAACAATTAAAAATTTCCGGGATACAAGGATTGGTTGGGCGCGGAAGATCGATTCGCCGCGTACGTTAAAAATCCGACAAAACTCTTTGGCACAAACTTGTTATTCTCTCACAAAAATCTATTTATCTCGCAGCGATATTCGATGATCGACTGGTCCTTCCTTTCTTTTGCTCGATTAAGAATAACCTCGACCGATCGCGTATCGTCGCATTCTGCCGTTAATTGCCGCGCGTTTTGTCGATTCTCCGATAAAAGGTGATACATTCGATACCGTTGAAAGTGACAGGCGTAATAGCAATCTTTATAGGCGCGTTTATAAACGTCTCGAACGCAGATTTCTCACGCGGCTTTAACGTCAAGCAAATCTTTTCTCATTCTAGGCCACCTGTGAGCTTCCGATTACCGCCCGCTGCGAAAAAGCCGTTCTGCAAGACGAACAGGTAAGAAAAATTACGCGATATTCTCTGTCGGAACTCTGGTTCCGCGTCAGCTCTTGAAAAAGACAGCGGTCGCCAGTTGATAATAAATATTTTCAAATTTCGATATGCTCTTCTTGTTTTAATATTTCGTCCGAATTTCTTCGATTCAGTTTAGCTGATTTAATCTGATTACCAGATCGTCCATTTACGACTCCCGTCATTAAAGGATTAATCCTACAAATTTCGTTGAATTTAAAGGATCAATGGAAAAAGTCTCGGGGTACAACATTGTACGGATAGAATAATTTTCTTGTTCTTGTAAATTCTTTTCAATTTTATTACACGTTGAGTACTCCAAAAATAAACTGTTAGTAAAGTCTATTTTGGTAAGGAATATAGTGAATTTCGCTAGAAGCAAAAGTGTTTTAAGTACATCAATAGCATATTTCAGTTCCTGAAATATAAATAGCACATTGAGAGAAATTATCCGCTAAAAAATTAACAAACGGATATTTCTGATCAAGATACCGATGAATTTCTATATCCGATCAGGATATCCGATCTTTAATCAAATATTTCCGATTATAATGACATTTCATCAGATCAAAATTTATGAGCCGATATTTCTTATCGGATACAAAAATTCATTGATATTTTGATCAGAAATATTCGTTAGTTAATTTCTTATCAAATAATTTCTTATTAAATAATTTCTCTCAGTGTGCATATGAAATGAAAGGAATTATAGTGAATTATTGTAGAATATATTCCTCGCAATTACACAATTTTATGGTAAGCTTTAAAATTTTATAAAATTTTATAAAATTTTCTACAAAACTCTCTCTGCGTATTGATCATAAATTTTAGAAAAGCTCATTGTCATGTATTCAAAAGAAGAATTTATCCTCTGCGAGAATATTATAAAACTTTATCGTAAAAAAAGTTGGTTCGATCGTATGTGTGATGAAGTAAAGTAAAATGAACAAATTACTGCAGAATGTAATTCTGTTTTACATCACAAAAATCTATAGCAATTTTTACTATAAAATTCTCCTCGTGTATTTAATTTGAATTCGTATAAATTTCCTTTCTAAACATAAAGAATGTGGTTGTAGCAAGCATAACAGTTTTCTCCGTGCACATTTCAGTTTCTGGAATATAAATAGTGCATATGAAATGAAGGGATAACAAATTTCTGCAGAATATCGACCTGTTCGTCGGTTACAAGATGTTACGGTAGTTTTCACTATGAAATTCTCCCTGCACATACTGACTATTGTTTCCTGATGCTACAAATGGTGATTTATCGCCGTCTTGTTGAAAATTAAAGAACTTACAAGGAAACTCACACAAGTGTCCGCCTCCGATTTTCATGAACTAGTAATATGTACTTTATATATTGTACTTTAGATCAAAATAACAGATATGTTTTTTATTATATGTGTCTTTTCGCAAGTTTAGGTGATGAAATACCTCTTTGAATAAAATCGGTTTTTTTCATTCAAAGGGAATATAATGAAAACTACTTAGAGATAGAAAAAAATATTTTGAATAAAAGTTCAATGGTTTAAAGAGTACAGAAATTACTAAAAAAAATTTTTTTGTTAATATTTCCCCCAACATTCCTTCTTATTATAATTATTAAAATTAATTCTATAAAATACTTTTCAAACCATTCAACTTTTATTTAAAATATTTTTTTCTATCTCTTATAGTTTTCTTTATATTTCCTTCGAATGAAAAAAACTGATTTTCTTCAAAATAATATTTCACTCCCTAAACTTGCGAAAGGGCACATAATAAAAAAACGTATCTGTTATTTTGATCTAAAGTATAACATATTACAAGTTTATAAAAATCGGAGGCGGATACTTGGGTGGTTTCCTTGTTAGAAAAAAAAAGTTTAACATTTAATTATCTTTCAATAGTTTACCTACACTTTCCCAATTCTTAATTTCAACGAGCGATGTATCTGGTCACGTGACTCAATCAATATAGAATATTGCGTGCCGAGCAAATATTAAATAATCCGATAAAGATTAACAGCTGAATAAGCAGAAATGCAAGCTTCTCTTTCATAATCTCTTGTTATTATCTGTTCTTTGGCGCTGGCAATTTCGTTAGGATTTGTAGATTCAAAAGAGACGAAAACGGAGCCTCGTCGCCAACAACCTCTGTTCTGTAATCCGTGCCGGATCCGATCTCAATTCTGGATCGTCGCGCTTTCTCGCGTCACTGATTGGCATACGACGGCAGCTGGCTGGCTGGAGTATGCAATTTTACCGGTTTTGCTTATTGCTTTGGTACTCTCGTACGGCGCGTGCTTGCGTCTTTGACGTCTCGATCCGCATATGTCTATATGTTATACGTAAAATTCTTGTTGGTCGATTAAACATTTCGCCAGCTCCCTCGAAATACTTAATCAGGGCCCCTTTCGGCATCGTGCATCAGTTAACACGTGTTTCTCTGATCGAATCGTACCTACGTCCGAGGGTCCGTGTCAGTGAGTGTCCCGTGCGACGATGTAACCAGGGGCAGGATAATGGATCGGAAAACCAGGACGGAGGATGCAGAACAACGGGACGTGGGCAGTGATACATCATGCATCCCCCTAGGTGTGTCAAATCATCTATTTTTCAGAAGATTCCCGTTCTCAACGGACATTTGGCGAACTTTCCGGGAATGAAGGAATCGAAATTTAGGCTGGCGTTGATGGTCCGTCATGCTAATAATACGTATAGTTTCATTAATCTATATATATATATATATATATATATATATATATATATATACATATACATGATTAAATACTAAATAATCTAACGTAAGTTACAAATGGATAAGAAAAGCAGCATATTTTTATTTTCATAATTTCTCTTTTTCTTTCGACGTTAGGAATATTATGATGATATTTCGTACTTTTGAAAGAGTTGATAGAAAAACAGCTGCAAAGGCAAAAACAACAATAACCTGTTCAATAATGCCGCCCATTCATAGTAGAGATAGATTCAAATTTTCTTTAATTAATATCTCGATTAATATTGGGAATATCGCAAAACGGCATGAGACTATTCGTCACTGACTACTCGTCAGCCAGTATAGAGGATGTCTCAGATTCTCCTGCGCAAATTTTGTGAGACACAGAACGGATTGAGATGAACATAAAAGTCTCATGCCGTTTTGCGATATTCCCAATAATAATCGAGATATTAATTAAAGAAAATTTGAATCTATCTTTACTATGAATGGGCGGCATTATTGAACAGGTTATTGTTGTTTTTGCCTTTGCAGCTGTTTTTCTATCAACTCTTTCAAAAGTACGAAATATCATCATAATATTCCTAACGTCGAAAGAAAAAGAGAAATTATGAAAATAAAAATATGCTGCTTTTCTTATCCATTTGTAACTTACGTTAGATTATTTAGTATTTAATCATGTATATGTATATATATATATATATATATATATATATATATATATATATATATATATATCTCACTCATATACTCTATTTACAGTTCTGAGTAGGTCATATAAATAATTACATCGCTGACTGAAAAGACGAATAAGGATTAAACACGGGAATATTCAGACACAGTTGATCATTAAATAATTCTAAAGTGAGTCTTCCTTTAAGACTCAACATTGAGAAAACGGCAGTGAGTATCATCGAGGCAGTTTCAACTTCGAGGAAGTTTGCATCATCAAGGGTAGGGTAATAGCTCGCGTAGAGAGCGTTACATCTCGAGATTCTTCATTGGCCCTTCAAGTTCGCGGGAATTTGCGCGGTTAATGTAGAAGCCAAATTTCGACTCGGGATCGCTCGATAAACCGCGGCATATCCAAGTGGGAGCAACTCGAACAGGCCAAACTGTTGCCTCGTTCGTTCGTGTTTGCGACTGTTTTTTTCGTGTGTTATGCACCCGCCAAGTATTCTCCGCGGGCACTCAGACCGCGTGTACACCTGTCGCGATGCCCGGGACAAAACCGCGAGTCCCGGGCGAGTCTCGACGTAGTGATCCTCCGCGAAACGATCGCGAGGCTCGCATTAATCCGCCGCGAGAACGCGGCACGCGCTTCAAAGTGGCTCGTAAGTACGGTCTCGGTCGACCGAATGTAGTCGTGGAACAATAGCTAGCGCGCACGAGCTCCCCGAATACGCTTTAACCAGATTACATACGCCCCGGATTGCGAGAACCGCCCGTCGTTTTATGTACACGCACGCGCTCCATAATTGGAGAAATACTCGTGAGCTACAAGTAAGCCGCTTTACTTCTTATCCGCGCTGATTCTCGGCGAATTATTGGATTCCGCAGGAGGACTTCAACATTAGTAACAATATCCCGTTGTAACTAATTAACGGGTCGCGATCGTCAATCCGCGCGATTCATCGATTAACTCCAAGGCATGGTGGCGTGAGCAACGTTTGCTCACGCTGAAAATCTTAATCCCACACGTAGACAAATGTCGTTACGCTGGCGAGAAAAGCGATTATCCAGTTTACTTTTCCTCCTTCTAAGTAATGGTTGTCTACAGCGAAGAATGTTTTCTCGATAATAGACTTAAAGTGCACTCTTGACAAATTTCGGGAGAGCTCATTATTATACGGAGTGTCGGAAAGTTCCAGACACGGCCGTGGTGTGCAGGAAAAACTCGTCAAACTGAACGAAAAAGTCCCTTGTGTGTTTGTATGTTGGGTCAAACTGAACAAAAAAGTCCTCTATCGTTTCACAAATAACCATAGACTTCTGCGTTATTAATTAAAGAAGATTAGCGAATGACTGTATGCGATCCTTCGCCAATCTTCTTTGATTAATACCTCAGAAATTTCTATGGTTATTTGTAAAATGGTAGATGATTATTTCGTTCAGATTCACCTAATACAAACTCCCAAGCTCGCAGGCTTTTACGTGATCGTTTGTAAAATGACAGAGAACTTTTTTATTCAGCTTGATGAATTGTAGCTACGCACCACAGCTGTGCCTGGAATTTTCGAACACTCTATATATTCGAGAGAAAA